GTACCGCAAAGGGCGATATGGCCGAGGTCGATTAGTGAAAAACGGGGCTTGTAGCCGAAGAGTCAATAACGGCCGAGGTCGAGTATGAAGAGCAGTATTAACGACTAGTTTTTGTAATAGAATATTCAGAAGAATATTCTATTGAATATTCTTGGTGTTTGTACTTTTAGGGTTGACGGGGGAATAACCCAAATAAATAGAAAGAAAACAGGGAAAGAAGGGGATACATACAATTTTCTGATAAGAACACTCTTTGAAAGGTAAACTTTCTCTAGATAAAAGACAACAACTACCTTTCCAAAGAGATTCGATTATCTGTTATCTCACACTTTTTTCATTAGATACGAGATGGGCCCCAACATTCTAGTATTTTGTCCGTCATTCATCGTTGTGAGAGAGGAGTATCATCCACCTCATTCAATATTGGGTGAATCATTCTCCTTATTTACTTTAATGACATTTATTGCCATTTATTGCTCGTTATTCCTCCATCATTAATGACCCTAAAACATTAAATATACATCATATTTAATCTTCTCTCAACATTGCCCTTTGCATTATTTGTGTTAATCGATTATAGATCTGAAGTCATTATCATTAACTAGATTTAGTCCTTCATCACGCAAAATTAATTAGTTTAATCAAACACTTACATTTTTTGGTCAAACAGTGATTACTCCTAAAAGAAAGAATTTTTCACAATTGAAGTTTACAGCTTTATACTAAGTTAATTTTTGTCCATTTAAACATTCTAACAACAACATCACATATATATCAAAAGTAAGAATGGGAACAAAATTCAGAAAAAAAAATTAAATAAATAAATAGATTTCTTGATCAAAGAGAAGTGAAAAGATAAAGACTTCTACCCAAGGTTATTCGTTTCATACCATATTTGGAGTGGTAATTTTGTTTGCTGTGGAATTAGTTGATAAACTTAGATATTAATCTACTCCATTCTCTTCACAGAAAGATTGGTATGTGCTGGCAGTGCTGCTACTTTCTCTAATCAGAATGATTTATTGATTAGAGTGATTGCACATAGAACAAAATCTAAGTAAGAAGCATACAGTGCATATGGTGATATGTTTTTTCGTTTTCATTTAATGCTAATATGTTAAAAGTTGTCGTTTCATTGATTGAAATAAATGCCTTAAGCATTAATATATGGATTAACTCAATTACTTGAAGACCTTAAATGGGACGAAAAGTTCCGAAATTGATAAATATATAATTCAAAGAAAACAAATCTGATAGACAATTTTTTAAAGAACATTCCTAAATATATAAAATATAATACAATAGAGAACGAAACAATATGATAATATTTGTATTTGCATAAAATAAAAGAGACCGACAAATCTTCATACAGCTTTTCCATAGATATAAAATGTTACTACTATGGGAGAATGAAACAATAAAAGAACATTACTACTCCGAAACAACAATAATCGGTAATACTAAGACGGTGCTAATTTAAGGAATCTTTTTTCTTTTTGGATTGATATATTTTCCTAGGTACCGAATCCTATGTAATGATTCTAATGAAGAGTTAACCAGGGGAAAAAAGCTACAGGTACTAATAATAAAATAGATTAAAATTTAAAATCCAATTTTTTTTCAAATTTGAAAATTAAAAAGAATTTTTAAATATTTATAATTTTTGAATATTATAAAATTTATAGTTCAAATATTTAATAAGATGCTCCATGATCGCAATGTACTGGTTTTAAACTAAAGTTAGCTAGCAAAAAGATGGCATCGTGCCCATACTTTTTACTAATTTCGCTTTTCCTCCCAAATATTTCGGCCTATTAGATTGGAACTAGGGTATAATCTTGCATTTTCATTAAAACCATTTAACTATAGAAATTATCGATGGATATTTAAATAGTAAAAGTTAGCAGGCATCATGGTAGCTCACTTTGCCTCTAGATGTGTAACGGCACGGTCGATCATTTTTTGTATTGTATCCACGTCCTATTTATTGCCTCTTCTATGTTCATTTATGGTTATGACTTGCGGGGTATGATTGGATTGGCTTCAGGGAAGTTTCAGAGTGAATTGGGATACTTAGTCCCAAGATTGAAGGCTTAACTTGAAAGAGTTGATCGGAGTTTGACTTTTATGTAGACGACTCTGGAATGAAGTTTTGATGGTTCCAATAACTTTGTATGGTGATTTTGGACTTAGGCGTGTGTCCAGATATTGATTTAGAGGTTCGTAGGTTGATTTGATATTTTTTGGCGGAAGTTGGAAAGTTGAGGGTTTGAAAGTTTAACTGAGAGTTGACTTTGTTGATGTCGGGTTCGGATTTTGATTTCGGGACTTGGAATATGCCTGTTGTGTCATTTGAGACTAGTGTGAAAAATTTAAGGTCATTCGGAGTTGATTTGATATGGTTCGAATTTAGTTTTTGAAGTTGAAATTTCATTAGTTTCATTATGCTTGAATTGGGGTGCAATTCATGATTTTAATATTGTTTGATATGATTTGAGGCTTCGAGTAAGTTCGTAAGATATTTTAGGACTAGTTGGTGTAATTGGATGGGGTCTTGGGAGCCTCGGGGGCGTTTCAAGTGAGTTTTAGACCATTTTCTTTATGTTTGGACAATTGATCTGGTGTTTGGTGGGTGATTCTTCACGTTCGTGACATAGGGGTCGCGTTCGCGTAGAGTCTTCTTGGTTAGCATGTGGGTTGTTCTTCGTGTTCGCGAGTGGGCGACCGCTATCACGATGCTTTGGAGGGTTGTGGCCTTCGCGAACGCGAGTAGGGAGCTGTGTTCGCGTTAAAGCGAGGCAGGCTGGGGCATCAGGCCTTAGGTCTTCGCATTCGCGAGGGAGGGTTCGCTTTCGCGTAACATGGGATCGTTTGGTCATCGCATTCGTGAAGGGTTTTTTGGCAGTTGGTGAAGTTTTTGCTTCGCGAACTCAAGGCTTCTTCCGCATTCGCGAACAGTAATGCGTAGGTAGACTATATAGTACTCAATTTCAAGGGTCTGGTGGGTCTGATTTGCCCCTCTACTATCATAAATAGACCTTATTTACCCTCCGTTTAAATTTTTTATCAAAACTATCCTTATCGTTATACATTAGGTTCATATTTACCCCTTACACGTTAAAAAAAAGATATTTGTCCTTCGTTATACTTTAGGATCATATTTACCCCTTTACTCTTCAAAAAGGGTTACATTTGCCCTTCGTTATACTTTCTTGACATAGTTATCCTTACAATTATACTTTAGGTTACCCCTTATCCGTTAGATCGCCATGTCCCACCTTTGTTTTCCTACATAGCGTCTACGTGGATTTATTTTCTTCCAATTTAAATATGGTCACCTATTTAAGATAATTTAATTCGCCCACCCAATTTAAATAAGACTTCATTAACTCCATTGTTGTGCAACTTCTTGTAATTTACTTTGGTTACTGCAATAATTGTGAGTTGTATTAGATTAATGATTTTGAGTTCAAAATTATTGTTTGCCAATATGTTACCGCTGCTATAACTATTGTATTTCGCACAATCTTCATAAATGCCTTAATCAGGAAATTACTTTTCGTGGATCATGAATCACGGTCAATTGACCTAATTTAAACTTTACAAAGTTGTATCTCTACAAACACTTCAAAAATATCATTGAGTGATTCATGTCTCCTAACTCCTAAGTATTAAAGGGAAACAAATTAACATAGACAAAGATGAAATAATTAAATAAATCAATTAGAGATAACACTATAGTTTCGTTCACTCATTGTCCAAAAATTTATCGCTCTTCAAAAAATATGGAGCTGACCCGGAGAAGAGAGATGGACGAGTGGGGTGGGGGGAATTGGGAATTATGATTTCCATTTATTTTAGTTAGTGTGTCTTATTTAAATTGAGTGGACGGATTAAATTATCTTAAATATGTAACCATATTTAAATTGGAAGAAAAAAAAATCCACATAAGCGCCATGTAGGAAAACAAAGGTGGGACATGGCGATCTAACGGATGAGGGGCAACCTAAAGTATAATTGTAAGGATAAATATGTAAAGAATGTATAACGAAGGGCAAATGTAACCCTTTTTGAAGAGTAAAGAGGTAAATATGATCTTAAAGTATAACGAAGGATAAATGTAACCCTTTTTAACGTATAAGGGGTAAATATGAACCTAATGAATAACGGTAAGGATAGGTTTGATAAAAAATTTAAACGGAGGATAAATAAGACCTATTTATGATAGTAGAGGGGCAAATCAGACCCTTATCCGTTTTAACATTTTGTGAGTTGTAGAGCTCGGTTTTGAGAGATTTTGAAGGTGATTTTCACGATTTGGATCGGGGTAAGTATTCTTTACTCGGATTTGATACGTATATTTGACATGTAGGCATAAAGATATACTTTTTCTCATGCTAGCCGATAAAAAAAATATTTTATCCGTATTGGGCTTAAATGGGAAGCATGCCTAAATTTCTGAAATGTGAACAAGCTGAACATAATATCATTGAGCTACCTGTTTCTACTGTTTTCCTTTATATTCTGAAATGTTTCTGGTTATTGATATTGCTATCTGAGTATTGTTTCTGATCTTTTCATTGCTTTTAACCCAAGAGTGTTGTTACTTATTGAATACATGAGGTTGATTGTACTCATACTACACTCTACACTTCGTGTGCAAATCGAGGTACTTCCATCTACACAACACCTCATATATTAATTTTGGAAAAATAATACATAGTAGCAAGTTTTAAAGTAAATACAATTAGTTAATAGAAAATGTATAATTTTTGACATATATTAATATGTGATACCCTGACCACAAACATGTTATAATAATAATAAAACTTTACGTACTTTATTTCCACATGGTAAAAATTGTTGAAAATAATACAAGATTCAAAAAGCAACAAAGTGACAACCACATATTGTAAGCCTAAAGAGACATTATATTCCTGTTGTTTCCGAGACTTTCTGTTCCTTTTTGGAGTATATAAATTAGATTTACTACTTGAAGTTTAACAAGCAAAAAACATTCTTCACAATGGCTTCTCTGTCTCTACCCAAATTATCTTTCTTTCTTTTAGTGATAACTTTCGCATATTTCTCTTCTCCCTCAGCTGCCCAAACAAAATGTAACATCAGATCAGTTTACCAACTCGGTGACTCACTCGCTGATGCCGGAAATGTCATCCGTACACCCGGCGCTTCCATTATATTCCGAGCCAACCAAGCTCCGTACGGTGAAACCTTCTTTAGAAGACCTACCGGCCGTTTCTCAAACGGCCGTATTATTATCGATTACATTTCCTCTGCTTTCAAACTCTCCTTCCTCAATGCTTACTTGGACAGACGTGCTTCTTTTAGCCAAGGCGTTAACTTTGCCGTGGCTGGTGCCACGGCGCTAAATTCCTCTTTCTGGGCAGCTCGGGGTATTCGGCTGCCCACATGGAATACGCCGTTGGCTGCTCAATTAGGTTGGTTTAAATCTCATCTACAATCCACATGTGGTTCTAATTGTGCACAAACTCTTAGGAGTTCGTCTCTTATAGTAATGGGAGAATGGGGTGGCAATGATTATTACAATGGGTTTTTCCAAAAGAAGCAATTACCTGAGGTCCGTACTTACGTTCCTTTTGTTGTTGCCGGTATTATGAAAAGCATCAAAGATGTGATTCAGCTTGGGGCAACTCGTATTTTGGTTCCAGGAATTTATCCACTGGGGTGTCTTCCTTTGTATTTGACATCTTTTCCTGATTCTAATGAAAATGGTTACGACCAATTGGGTTGCTTGAGAAATTATAATGATTTTGCTTCGTACCATAATAGATACCTGACCAGAGGTTTGGCATCTCTACAACGTGAATTTCCGAATGTTAGGATTGTCTATGGAGATTATTACGGAGCGCTTTTGACTCTTCTTCGTAGTGCTTCTTCGTTTGGATTTAATCAGAATACGTTGTTAAGTGCGTGCTGCGGAACTGGAGGACGATACAACTTTAATTTCAGGACTGTGTGTGGATCAGCTAGTGTAAGAGCTTGTTCTAACCCGGCTCAATACGTGCATTGGGATGGTATTCATTTGACAGATGAAGCTCATCGTCATATGACAGACATTGTTGTCAAAGACATGCTTTCCAGATTCGGGTGTACCGTTTAGTTAATGAGTTTCAAGATTCTCTTAATTTGTTATTTGGGTGTTTTTCTTTTTCTTTTTGGTTGGTAATAATGATTTTCTTAGTTGGGTATTTGGGTGTTTAGAACATGATGATATATGTCACACCCTATCTGTTCTTTCTTCTTCATAAAGTAGTCGAAAAGAAAATAAATTAAAGAGTGATGGTTGTTTGCAAATATATAGTTAAATTGAAAACTAAACCAAGATTAATTAGTATTCCTAAATTGTCTATGATATGATATTTGGTAGTTTGTTTAATTCATGTTAGTTAGGTTTTGTTTACCAATTTTATATTGGAATATGTTTTGATTTTATAGTATTATAAATAGAGGTACTACTTTTTGTAGATAAATTAAAGAGTTTATGAGTTGTGAAAAAGCCTCCTACCACGTTCTCTCCCTAGTTTAATAAATTTCTTCTATATAGTCTTTGTTAAATTTTTTGTTTGTGCCTAAATTATTCTTGGGGTATTTCAATCTTTCATATTGGTATCAGAAAGATTCTGTTAGAGTCGGTGGAGATCCAAAAAAAAAAAAAAATTATGGATACTCCACATTTACATGATTGCCACGTTTTCAAGTTTGATGGCAAAAATAATGTTGAAGACGGGCATCAATATATGAAATATTTTTTTAATGTTGTTGGATTATGACCCATTATTGAAACAAGATTTGAGGAACCCCAGAAGGTACAACATTGATAGGTGATGCGGCTATGAATTAGAAAAAAAATAGACAATTAGATTATAAGGCACGTCACTATCTCACCAGTAAGGTTGACTTGCGTCTATCTAACAATTTTTTGCATGCAAAATCAACAAAGGAGGCTTGGACAATTTTGGTGAATTCACATCGAGGTTCTGCTGAAGTAAAGAAAGTCAAATTGCAAGAACTAAGGAGACAGTACGAGTTGGCCCAAATGAAACCAACAGAGCCCGTTAAAGAATTCATTACAAGAATTACTAATATTATCAACGGCATGAGGACCAATGGAGAACTACTAGATGAAGTTAAAGTGGTTGAAAAAATATTGCGGTCCTTGAGTATAAAATTTCACACGAAGAAGGTGGTTCTCGAGGCTACCAAAGATCTTAACACTTTTACACTTGATGATTTAGAAGGTGAATTGGTGACATATGAGATGTCCCTGACTCAAGACACACCCGAAATAGTGGAGGAGGCATTGCAAGCAAAGGTGAATCAACCTAAAGTAAAAGAAGAGACAAGTTATCCTAAAGAAACAAATCAAAGAGGCCAGAATTTTAGAGGTAGAGGTCGTGGTAGAAGTAACTTTTGAGGCCGTGGTAGAGGTAATTTTTCTTATCAACAAAGAAATAGTAACAATATTTTGAAGGAACAACAAGATCATCTAAATTTTCAAAGACGTGATAAATCTAAGATTCAGTGCTATAATTTTGGTAAATTTGGACATTATGAAAGTGAATGTTGGTCTAATAAATATGGTAATAAAGAAGTACATGCTAAGATGGCTGAAAATAATGGGGATAAACAAAAGACTTTATTATTTTCTAGTTCTGGAGTTGAAGAAACTAAAGGGAATGAGTGGTTTATTGATTCGGGCTGCAACAATCATATGAGTGAAAATAAGAAATTATTTACTAATCTGGATGAAACATTTAGAGGTACAGTAAAACTTGGAAATAACGCAACGATGCCTGCTGATGGAAAGAGAAAAATTCACATTATTGTAAAAGATGGTTCTTCTAATTTTATATCAGATGTGTTTTATGTGCCGAGTATTCATCATAATTTATTGAGCTTGGGGCAACTATCAGAAAATGGGTATGATTTGCGTTTTAAGTATAAGATTGGCACAAATAGTGATGATAAATTTGGACTAATTGCAAAGTTTAACATGAACAATAGTCGTTTGTGGCCTCTTTATCTCAATAGTGATGATTTACCTTGCTTTAGTTCTATAAACTTTGATGATACTTGGTTGTGGCATCTACGTCTTGGGCATTTGAATTTTGGGAATTTGAAATTTCTTGCAAGAAAGAATTTTATTGATGGTTTGCCTTCTATTGATTTTCCTAACAAGAAGTGTGAGTCGTGTATTTTGGGAAAGAAGTATAGAGAATCTTTTCAGAAAGGCAAGGCTTGGAGAGCTAATGCACCATTACAGTTAATTCATTCAGATTTATGCTCAGTTGAAGTTTCTTCTAATTATGGTAGTAAGTATTTTATTACTTTCATTGATGATTTCAGCCGAAAGACTTGAGTATATTTATTTAAAAATAAATCTGATGCATGTGATATTTTTAAGAGCTTCAAAGTTTATGCGGAGAAGCAAAGTGGATATTTTATTAAAACATTGAGGACTGATAGGGGCACTGAATTTCTTATTTGTAATGATTATTTGAAGAAGTATGGTATTAAGTATCAATTGACAGCTAGATATACACCTCAGTAAAATGATGTGGTTGAAAGAAAAAATAGAACAGTGATGGACATGGTGAGATCTATGATGCATTCCAAAAATATTTCAAAAGTTTTTTGGGCAGAAGCTGTTTCCTGTGCAATTTATGTATTAAATATGTGTCCTACACGGTCTAATTTTAAAAAAACTCCACAAGAGATCTGGACAGGTAAGAAACCAAATATTTCTCATCTAAAAATATTTTGTTGTCTTGCTTATGCTCATGTTCCTGATGCTTTGAGAAAGAAATTGGATGATAAAGTTGAAAAGTGTATTTTTATTGGTTATAGTCATGAGAAAAAGGGTTACAAGTTGTTTAATCGAGATACATGAAAAGTGATTATTAGCAGAGATGTGACTTTTGATGAGCAGAGTTCTTGGAATTGGTCAAAGAAGAATTTTGATCCATCTAGGTCTCAACCAATAATTCAAGTCATAGAGGAAGGAAGTTCTAGCAGACATTAAGAGGAACGTGCAATAGATCCTATTCAAGCAGAGACGTCCAGTCGCCCGCAAATACAATACCAATTAGCAGCTCGTTGGCAAGATTATATTGTTGGAGATAATAATGATTTATTCGTTGAAGATATTATAAATTTTGCCTTATTTGCAGATTGTGATCCAGTTACTTTTGAGGAAGTTGTTAGAGATGATCGATGGGTTCATGCAATGAATGAAAAAATTCATGCTATTGAAAAAAATAAGACATGAGAATTGACCACTTTACCACCTTCAAAAAGATCAATTGGAGTCAAGTGGGTATTCAAGACCAAGTTCAAACCAACCGGGAAGTGGATCGCTTTAAGGCAAGATTAGTTGTTAAAGAATACAAACAGAAGGCAAGTATTGATTACTTTGAGGTATTTGCACATGTTGCTAGACTTGATACTATTCGTATGATAATTTCTCTTGCTGCCAATAATTGCTGGAAAAGTTTTAAAATGGATGTGAAATCTGCTTTCTTAAATGGTGTACTTGAAGAAGAAGTGTATGTTGAGCAGCCTGCTGGTTATGTCAAAAGGGCTCAAGAAAATAAAGTTTAAAGGCTGAAAAAGGCATTATATGGATTGAAACAAGCACCTAGAGCTTGGTACACTCATATTGATTCTTATTTTATTGGACATGGATTCCACAGATGTCCATATGAGCATACTTTATATATCAAATTCAAGCGTGGCGAAAATATTCTCATTGTGTGCTTATATGTGGATCATTTAATTTTTACTGGCAATAATCCTAAATTAATTTTTGAATTTAGGGAGGCAATGAATAACCAGTTTGAGATGACTGATTTGGGTTTAATGTCTTATTTTCTTGGCATTGAGGTATCTCAATTAGATAATGGAATATTTATCTCTCAGAAAAAATATGCCGGTAATATTCTAAAAAGATTTAATATGGATAAAGCCAAACCAATTTTGACCCCTGTTGAAGAAAAATTGAAGTTGGTTAGAGATGGGACCGGTGACTTTATTGATGCTACATATTTTAGAAAATTAGTAGGGAGTCTAAGGTACTTGACTTCTACAAGGCCTGATATTACTTATGGAGTTGGATTAATTAGCAGATTTATGGAGATTCCACGACAATTCCACTTGCAAGCAACAAAGAGAATTTTGAGATATATTCAAGGTACGCACACTGATGGTATATTTTATTTAAAGATTAATGATAGTAGTCTTGTGGGATTTAGAGACAGTGATTGGGCATGTGATACGATACAAAGAAAAAGAATTCTGACTATGCATTTTATTTGGGTTCTGGTATATTTTCTTGGTCTTCCAAAAAGCAATAAGTTGTTGCTTTATCAACAGCTGAAGCAGAGTACATGGCTGCAGCAAATAGTGCTACACAAGCATTGTGGTTAAGAAGAATGCATGAATTTCTTCAACACAAGCAAGACAATCCTACAATATATTTTTGTGATAGCAAGTCTGCAATTGAGTTAACAAAGAATCCAGTTTTTCATGGGCGTAGCAAACACATTGATATCAAATTTTACTTATTCGTGACTTAGTTCACGACAAGGAGATAGTTATTGAGTATTGCAAGACTGGAGAGCAAGTTGCTGATGTTTTCACAAAGCCACTAAAATTGGAGTTATTCATCAAATTGAAGAAGATGTTTGGCATGATCAAATTTTAAAATCTTGGTTTAAGGGAGGCTGTTGGAAACTAAACCAAGATTAATTAGTATTCCTAAACTGTCTAGGATTTGATATTTGGTAGTTTATTTAATTCATGTCTAGTTAGGTTTTGTTTACCAATTTTATATTGGAATATGTTTTGATTTTATAGTATTATAAATAGAGGTACTACTTTTTGTAGAGAAATTCAAGAGTTTATGAGTTGTGAAAAAGCCTCTTACCACGTTCTCTCCCTAGTTTAATAAATTTCTTCTATATAATCTTTGTTGAATTTTTTGCTTGTGCCTAAATTATTCTTGGGGTATTTCAATCCTTCATATATTTTTATTACAAATTTATGTCAATTTAAGCTAAGTTGTTTTCAAATTTAGGAATGAACTATTCTTTTTGGAACGGATCAAAAAGAAAATAGGTTCACAGAAATTAGAACGGAGTGACTAGCAAATTTGGCCAAGTGGAATATATTGATGTGGGATATTTAAGTTTGATTTGATTTCAAAATTTGTTTTAAGAGTTTTTTGTCGCACAAACATTTATGATCTCCAGTTGGTCCAAGGTAGATGCAAACAAATAATTTAGTTGTGATCATATAATTACTTCATTACTTTTCAGACTATTCAAAAAATAGATTTAAA